TTTATTAAAGGACAGTGGACCAAAAACTGAGAAACACCCCGTTTTTGTTTTGAAAATAAAACATCATAAAACAAAAACAAGCTGTTTTACAGTTTAAAAATAAAAAATAAATTAAAAAAACAACAATTTTCCTCTTTTGTTTGTTTGTTTTGAAACTAAAAACTAAACTCAATAACGACCCTTTTTGTCCTCCATACTTATATATAAATGGTTTATAAAGCAGAAATCCGTTAACGAACACTTTATTAGTGTTAGATGTGTGTCAGAGCTCAGGCCTGGTCCTGGTCCTGGTCCTGGTTGAACCGGATCAACAGGAGATCACATTTAATGGGAGTACTCACCGCTTCTCTTTGTTCCGGGTTCAGACTCTCCGGTTCTTCATCACCGAGGGTTCCGGTGAGCGGCCCCGTCCGCGGCTGCAGGAGGACCGGGCACGCAAACAGCCACAACACGCTGCTGTTCCTCCGGTTCTCAGTGAATACAGAGTCCAGCTGGCGGCTCCGGGTCCGGGTCCAGGAGGAGTCCGCTTCCTCCGCCTCCTCCGCTGCTGCTTCTACGGTTCACCGGCGGGCTGCAGACCCACCGCAGGGCTGCGTGTCGGCCCCTACCGGAGGAGGACAGCATGACTTTATTATAGAATCACTTATTATTATTAAATATTTAACAACATATAACATATAATAATATCAACATTAATAATATCAACATTATTATTATTATTATTAATAATACTAATAATAATAACATTATTATAAATATAATAACATTAATAATAATAATAATAATAATAACAATAATAACATTAACAATAATAACAATAACAATAATAACATTAACAATAATAACAACATTATTATTAATAACAGCAACAATGATAACATTATTAATAATAACAATAATGTCTTTTTTTATTAATAATAACAATAATAACGTTAATAATAATAATTAACAATAATAATAATAGCAGGGATTGGCAAAGCTTCATGGGGGGTTTGTGAAGTCTTTTTGATTTTAAGGTGTGCAGGAAACCTTAAAAATATACACAGTATAATAATAATAATAATAATAATAATAATAATAATATCTAATTGTCAAAAAGTACCCAGTTAGAACAACCAAAGTGCTGGAAGCAGCGTCAGGGACAAGAAAACACAGAATTTGTTGAAACAAAAGCTTATTAAGTATTATATTATGTATGATTGTTAAAACAATTATAAAAATGCACAACACAGACGGAGAAATGTATAAAAAGTTCTTAAAAATATCAGGAAAACTGGTCTCTGATCAATATCCATGGAAAATAATCTGCTCAAAATGAATCCAAACTGCACATTTCACACAAACTTCCTGCAGCTACTGTTAGTTAGTTCACTGTTTACAGTTGATCACTTGTTCTGTGCTGTTACTGTCACACATTGAACACAATATAAAATACCCATAAACTATGTAACTCAGCAGGGTTGTCAGTTCACTCAGAGGCAGAAAAAGGTTGGGAACCAGGACGTTAGGTGGCGGGAACCGAGATTAAAAACATTTCTGGAGGCAATGAGACGGAATAAAGAACTAAAATCATCAGAATCAGAATCAGAAGTTGGTTTCACAAACAAAGAATTATAAATAAAGATAAAAATAGAGACAACATATACAAATATAAAAAGATAACCAATATATAAAATTATTTTTAATCGGTTAAACATCTCAAAATAATATTTGAGAATGACCTAAATAATAATATAATAATACATATTTAATCAGATAACTGCTGTCACACATTTGGTTGGACAGTCTGAACACATTTGTTAGTGCAGCTCCTGCTGTTGGCCTCTGGGGGGCAGTGTACAGTTTACAGTGGATATACAGTGATATTTATAATGTGCCACATATAAACCAGAGAGTTTAAGAGCCCCAGTCAGTGGCTGCTAGAACAAAAAGAATAAAAAGACCCCCAGCAGTAAACAATAAATACTATAAAACAGATAAAACTTGATGAAGTTTTTGAAACTTGGAGACGTTTTCTATAATTTACTGGAACATAATGATACACGATGGATGAGCTGACAGTGTTTCCTTTAGTTTAGTTTTTAGTTTTCTTTTTGTATGAATTGTAAACTCTATATTATTTCCTTTTTGTTTGTCTCGTTTTTGTTTTTCACTT